TCCCACTGATGTGGCCTGTTGAGAGGAGGCCCAGGTCTGGAGGGTCCGTCAAATTCCCAGATCCTGGGTTTAATTGCTGCACTGTGCTCCATAATTTGGAGGTACCCGATCATCGCCAGCTCCAGGAGCGCCTTTCTCCTGGGAGGAGCCGGACTGGCCTTGTCCAGCCTCCAGCCACTGGGCTCATGATCTTCACGCTCCCACTGATGCGGCCTGCTGAGAGGAGGCCCAGGTCTGGAGGGTCCATCAAATTCCCAGATCCTGGTACTTAACGGCACCAAGCCTCCTTTGCTCAGCTTATGAAAACGGAGACTGTCACCTGCCTACCTCAAGACCGCTTGTCGCATGAAAAACATTTCTGTTTACATCACTAGTCTCGGATTTTCTGTTGCTTGCACTCAGAAGCATTATGGATACAGCGTGTCATGGGGTGTGGAGGATTAAAGGGACGAAAGCAGGGGTTTGGGCATATGAACCATTAAATACAGCACGTGCTCTCCACACTGGTGAGCCATGTGAATCCCTGGACACACAACCCCACTGTATTTAAAGGAATTCTGGGTCTGTGTTTAGGAGAGTGCTCAGTGGAGACCCCAGAGCTGATGTAAGGGGAGAGCAGAGAGAGGCAGGGATTGCCAAGCAGCTACTTTCTCTAGTAAAAAAGATCTGATTTTGAGAAAAATGAGTGAGCTGCAGAGTATTCCCCTGGGACCATGATGAACTGACCTGCTGGGTGGAGTTATTGCCATTTGAGAAGCGGAGCAGTTCTTCCAAAAACCTTATTTTTGATTTAGCATCGTTTATGCTCGACTTCTCTTTCAAGCCAAAAGGGGTTTGCTTGTGTTCCCTTTGTTTTGGCAGTTGGGGCTTAGAGATTGTTGTATAGCTTTTATAGATTCTGAAATTTGAAAAGGATTTTAATATTATAATAATAACAGCTTCCATTTAATAAGCACTTATCGTATGCCGGGAATCACTGAGTGTTTTGCATATTTTATCTTGCTATTTAGGAATGAAAAGAATAAACTATTGACGCACTCAGCAATGTGGCTAAATCTCAAATTCGTGCTGAGTAATAGAAGCCAGACAAAACCAAGTACATGTTGTATGATTCCATTATGTGAAATTCTAGGAAATGCAAACTACCCTATTGTGACAGAAACCCATCATGGTTGCCCAGGCATCGGGGTGGGGTGGGTGGCAGCTGGGTGAGAGAGAGGGATTACCAAGGGACATAGTAGCTTTCAGAGGTGACGGATATGTTCATTATCTCACTTGTAGTGATGCTTTCAGGAGCGGGTACATTTTTCAAAACTTAATGAATTTTATACTTTAATATGCGCCATGTATTATATATTAATTAAAGCTAAAAGTGCTGCCCTGGCTGCTGGTGCGGCCCATTTGGTTGTGCATCATCCCATGCACCGAGAGGTCGGCAGTTCGATTCCTGGTCAGGGCACATGCCCAGGTTGTGGGCTTGATCCTGTCTCTCGCTCTCTCCCCTCCCTCTCTTCCCCTCTCTCTCAAATCAATAAGACAAACAAAAAACTAGGAATGCTTTTTAAAGGGAAAAAATGTTAAAAAATTTTGCTGCCTTTTCATAGGTAAATGAATAAATGAGCTATGATTTAACCACACAATGGAATTCTATGCAGCAGTGAACATCAATGAAACAGATCTCCATGTGTCAAAACAGACAATGATTTAAAAAGTAAGTTGCCAAAGGAAGTCGCAGTGTCATATATATGTAAATTTTAAGTGCATACAACACTGTATGTTTGTGGGTACACATATGTATCAAAAGTGTAAATTTGGAACGATACACATTACCTTTAGTGGTGGGTTAATGAGGTGCATGAAGAAGAAAGGGATGGGGTGGAGTGTTGGCTATACTGACAATGCTGAGATACACAGAAAAACACAAATGCTAACATCTGTGAAATCTGGGTGGTGGGTACATGGGCATCTGTTATATTATTTTCTGTACATTTCTGCATGATTGAAATATTTCATAATTTTAAAAAAGCTTAAGTAATTCTTCATCCCACTTTCAGCATCCAGTTCCCTTTGCCAGGGGCAACTGTTATAAATTACTTGTGTATTGTGTATCTTTCTGGAGATATTCTATACACACACACACACACACACATATGTATACGTACACATATATATGTATTATCAGATATGTGTAAATTTTCATAGATCTCTTTTTAAACAGAATTTGGAGCATACTATATATACTGTTCTGCGTCTTTTCTCAATAAAGCTTTGGAAATAGTTGCAACTCAGTTCACGCAGAATTTCCTCATTCTTTGTAATAACGTTTAACATTCCTTCATATGGCTAATTAGGCTATTTCCCAGTGCTTGCCATTAGGGACACATTGTAAACATGCACTTTGCACATCCGTACAGACCACACCACACCACATGCAGTCTTTTCATAGTTACACAGGATCTAAGTACAAGAGCAATGACCACACTGGGCTGCACAAAGCAAAGGGCTGAAGCGGTGGGGGGGGGGGGGGGGGCGCGTCTTCCTCCTGTATGAATGAGTAGCTACCTTGGAGTTCCTGTTTGTCCCTTTTAAGTTTCTTATTTCCTCTTGGACATTGACTGGCCACTGGCTCCCACATTTCCAGCTGTTGATAGCATACTTTCTCCATTTAGGAGCTATTTTGTTGCTTCTAAAATGCTTTAGGCCAAAAAGCCAAACAATCTAACTTGTTTGGACTGTGATGAAAGTAGAAGGAAGAAGGTTTCATGGAAGGGAAGTGGGCAGCTGAGTCAAGGCTCTGAGCTTTGCCGCATGGACGTAGTTACAGGTATGCCGGCCCCTCCGGGGCTCGGGGTGCTCTCCAGGCCCTGGTCACCTCTGCATGCGAGGTGACAGACAGCTGCTTCACCCATCCCCTGGTGTAAGAGGCGGGACCAGAGCAGCGGCCACTAGGGAATTAAGAAGAGGCAGGAAGTGCTGTGTTTGGTGTATGTCTCACCGCAGGGAGAGGTGAGCATTCATCCTGCCTCTACATGACTGCAACTGTGACATTTTAGAATAATTCTCTGTTTTCTGACAAGAGGGGAGGAGAGAGTCCTCCCAGTTAAAGTCCAAGGGCAGGAGCAAGAGGTCGGGGCAGTGTAAGAAGCTCATCGCCTCTTTCTTGACTATGAATAGTCACTCTCTTAAGTATTTTATTTTTTTACAAAAAAGGAGGGGAGCATCTGTAATACTTTCAACAATAAAAACAAAAAAACCCAAAGTTTTTTTTTACAATATAAAATCATAATAGGATTCTAGAAAATAACTCCTTTAGAATACTGAAGTAGTACTACTAATGATAATGGGAACAATAGCAAATATTTATTGCAGTTTCCAAAGAATTTTCTTACTAGGGAGGCAGTATAGCCTAGTGGTCAGAGCACAGACACAGACGTCAGATTGTCTGGATTTAAAACCTGGCTTCACCACTTCCTGTGTGGCTTGGAGTAGCTTATTTAACTTCTCTGTGCTTTGGTTTTCTCATCTGTAACATGGCTGTTATAGATTAAGTGACTTAAACATGTGTAAAAGTCTAATCTTAAGTTAGTGCCCAACACATACTTGGTGAATGTTTGCTAAATGTTAGTTATTATTGTCATTATTGTCATTGTCATCATTAGTGTAGTTGTAAGTAAATAGCAAGAATGGGTGTCAATGGACATAGCTGGTAATCTGGTTAGTCGTTGCACTTAAGGCTTGCAAATAAGTGTAGAGGTGTATTTTTCCAGGAACAAAAATGATAAGCTCCACTGGGTAGAGCAAGCAGTGTTAAGATGTGGACCATGTCTGGCCCCATGTCCCAGCCAGCCAAGGAGACCCAACTGCAAGTGAGGGTCCAGGAGGAAGTGACTCTGGAGAGGAAAAACACCTGTACGAGCCTGTGCACCTGAAGCCACACCCAGAGGACCCATGCCCACTAGGAGGTACATGTCCAGTAGGAGGCCCATGTCCACTAGGAGGCTCCATGTTCTACTAGGAGGCCCATGTCCACTAGGAGGTACATGTCCAGTAGGAAGTCCATGTCCACTAGGAGGAGGGCCATGTCCACTAGGAGGGCCATATCCACTAGGAGGCCCGTGTTCTACTAGGAGGCCCATGTCCACTACAAGGGCCCATGTTCATTATGAGGGCCCATGTCCAGTAGGAGGCCCATATCCAGTAGGAGGCCCTTGTCTAATAGGAGGCCCATGTCCACTAGGAGGACTCATGTCCACTAGGAGACCCATGTCCACTGGGAGGCCCATGTCCACTAGGAGGCCCCATGTCCACTGGGAGGCCCATGTCCACTAGGAGGCCCCATGTCCACTGGGAGGCCCATGTCCACTAGGAGGCCCCATGTCCACTGGGAGGCCCATGTCCACTAGGAGGCCCCATGTCCACTGGGAGGCCCATGTCCACTAGGAGGCCCCATGTCCACTGGGAGGCCCATGTCCACTAGGAGGCCCCATGTTCCACTTCCAGGGAAAAGCCGGTTCAGTGTGGTCAGAGGCTGGAAGTGCCACCCCAGCCTGGCTGCTTGGTGGTGACCGAGGGCGATCATGTACTTTTACCTGAGCCTCAGGTTCCCCATCTCTAAAATGTGAGGGGTGAATGGAAAGATCTCGAGAGACACAGCAGGTGACAGAAGTCTGCAGCTCATGCTAGTCTCTCAAAGGGTCTTCAGCTTTTTTTGTCATCGGGGTGTGAACTGCTGCTCTGTGTTGAGCTCCCACCCTGGAGAAAGCCAGCAGGTAGGATCAGAGTGCAGGGAGAAAAGATGCGGGGAGGGAACCATGCTAAGGGGTGCAGGAGTGGGACACAGGTGCTGTGGGAGGGTAAGGAGGGGAGAGGCAGAAGGGTGTTGGGGGAGGAGCTGAACTGTCCAGCCCAGTGGGTGAGCAGGCCCCTGCCACTCGCTCCAGCTCCGGGCCAGGTGACATGGCCACTCAGACAGCCCCCCTCCACGCCTCTGGGTGCCTTACCTTGCAGCATCACCGACGTGGTGTAGTAGTTGAAAGGTACGTTTTTCACCAGGTATTCCTCTGCGTCCAGGCTGGCTAGCTTAGCGCCCACCAGCACTGACTTGCCTGTGCCCGCGGTCCCCACCAACATGAGCGGTCGCCGCCGCTGCAGGAGCCGCTCCATGAAGTAGCACAAACGGATGGTCTCGCTCGTGTGCACCAGACAAGCCTGGAATGGGAACACAATCAGTGCGCCTGGGGCTTGTGGGAGAAACCGATGCACCGCAGAATGTTCTGGCGCATTTAGAAGAGGGATTCTGCTGTCACGGTGGATCTCGTCACCATAAGCGGAGGGTCTTCCCTCAGGGAGACCATTTTGTAAGCTCATTCTCTGGGTAGAGAGCATCCCCGCCCTCCCCTACCAACTCTGTCTTCCTCCCTGAGGCCTCGCTAACATCCATCAGAAACTTCTGCCCCATCGTCTCCGCCCTGTGTCCCCCCGAGGTTGCCAGTGGGGTCTGGTAACCAAGTGACCTGGCCCCTGGGAGGGAACTCATGGCTTCATTGCACTTATGATTTCCACTGACAGGCAGTAGCTGGAGGTGACCAGCTCCCAGCAAGGGCAAACCTCTTGGATGCTGGCAAGGGGCTGCTTCTAGAGCCATGGCCGACCTTCGGGATGAATGCACTTCCTTGATCGCTCACACACTCACCTGCAAAGGCATCTCAGGGTCAAATTCAAACTGGGGGATGAGTGTGGACCATGGCTCAAATTTCTTGGTCTCAGGGTCTATGTAATAGTCAAAGATGGTTCCCTGGGAAGGAAACTTGATGGTCTTGAACTCGGCCAGCCACCACTTGCTGAACTCTGCCCGGTAGTCCACAAGCTGCAACACAGAGCAGGTGAGCATCAGGCTCTCAGAGCTCAAGAGCCTGGACAGGCCATCCTGGCATCAGGCGGAGGCCAGGGAGGAACAACGTGCTTCCGCTTTTGCAGGTCCACCTGATGGACTGGCTCCTCCGGGAAGGACGCTGTTCTGCCCAGGACCAGCCTGAACCAGGCGCAGCTGAGCAGGGCCTCCCGAGCACATGTGTGAGCGCCAGTCTGACCATGCAGCTGAGCTTCCCTGCACCAGCTCCTCTCAGAGCCATGGCAGGGTGGAGGGCGGGGGAGGGAGTATAAGAACACGGAGGAGAGAGCCCACCACCACAGGATGGGCAAGTGTGGTCAAGAATTCCGAAGGGGGCTTGGAACCGAAGATGGCGGCATAGGTTAACGCCGGAGATTGCTGCCTTGAACAACCAATTCAAATTAAGCCTGAAACAGGGACCGGACAACATCCAGAACCACAGGAGGGCTGGCTGAGTGGAAATTCTACAACTAGGAGTAAAGAGAATATCATATCCAGACTCAGAGGAGGCGC